AAACGGGTATCAATACTATTGTAAGGCGAGAGAAGAAAATCAAATATACAATGAATGGGAGAGAGAATGAATGACAGCGAAAGGATGAGAGAGATGATAATAGAGGCGAGTGATAGTGTGTGCGATAGTGAGAGTGAATGAATGAGTTAGGAGGAGATGGTAGGGGAGAGTGCGGAGAGCACAAGAGCAGCAGCACTGGTAAGACAACCAAATAAGTCAATATGAAATTGAATGCTTGTCTTAGCGCCGGTTGAATTCGGGCCAAATTTAATTTTGTTTTGTTTGCTGTCGACAAAACAAATGGCACTAAAATGATTTGGTCCCCTTCAACCAGCTGTAGTCGGGCATCAATTTGCAGCACAACAACTCATACCCACTGCCAGTGCCAGCGCCTACCACTCCGATCGGCGATCATAATGGTGTGCGACTCCATGTATGCATGTGTTGCTGTGTATGTCTTGTGTATGTGTGTCCATACAATTGGTCATCATTTAGTAGTATAGGAAAGGCCACCGCTATTACTGCCTACACATCATTACAAATAGCGCCAACTCTTTGCAAACTATTATATTTTGTGCTCTCATTTATCATAAGAAAAACTTATATTTCTTTCTTCTATTCCCTATCCCTCTCTCAGCCCTCACTTTCCCTCAATTTCTCTTTCATTTATTCTCTTCATCTCATAAAACCGTTAAAGAATTTTGTGTCGAAATGATTACTATTTGGTATGAAATGAAAAGTGAATTTCTCTCTCACTTTCTTTCAATAGAGACGACTAAAGACTAAAAAGCCATAGACTTTAAGTCAAGTCAATGGCAAAACTCTTAACTCACGTCTCTCTCTCTCTCTCTCTCTCTCTCTCTCTCTCTCTCTCTAAGCTATGGACACAACTGGTATATAAAAACCTACAATAAGAAGTAAAAAGGACTTAAGACCCAAACCATCAAATTATGTGACAAACAGTTTAAAAGAAGAAGAAGTTATAGAAGAAGAGGAGGAATGAAGAGAAGAAGAGATGAGTTGTGAAGTGAGGGCACGATTTTGGACACCAAATCATAAGACAATCGGAAATCCTTTTTGCTCTCTAACTGAGGCGTGTGTTTGCTAACAATCATATAAGTTATATACTAAAAAACGGTCGCATTATTATATTGGAAATATAAGACAAACTTTCATATTATTTATAAAACTTGATAAACTGGGAGAGAGAGAGAGAGAGAGAAACAAAAGTAGAGTGAGTGAGCATATAGTCTATAGTGTATACAATGCACTGAAACTTAATTCACTATAAGTGAAATGTTTGGCAGAGCCCGAGGCGATCGTCAGTTCATTATATAAGAATTGGTGCTTCAGTTCAATGCAATCACCAGCAAAAAGAGCCAAACATTACTTTTCGAGTCAATACTAATAATATCTATAATACAATATATTATGTTATATAATGTAATATTCAAAGCGATGCATAAAAATCAGTTCAAATGCTATTCTTAGGCATTGATTTCAATAGTTAAACACACGATTCCTTAACAATCAATGCATGAATAGAGCGCTTAATCGCCAAATCATATGAATTAACATTTTTTGTCGCTAATAACACACATATATAATAATGAAAGCAATAATGAATTGCAATGAATTGAATGGAAAGAAATAGAGGCAAAAACGGGTATCAATACTATTGTAAGGCGAGAGAAGAAAATCAAATATACAATGAATGGGAGAGAGAAAGTGTGACAGAAAGAGAGATAGAGACTAAAGAAAAAGCGCACAAAATAATCAACTTTCAAAGCTTAGGCTTATTATCGAGTCGTGTATTAACTGTTGGCACAAAAGTGTTATTAAGGATAAGAATGAGATTCTGTGCGAATGAGAGAGAGAGAGAGAGAGAGAGAGAGAGAGAGAGAAAGCATAAAAGAGAATAGAAGAAGGAATATTCTGGCGGTCATATTACAGAGAATATGAAAGGCTAAGTGAATGCAATGAGAGAGGGATGGAGAGTGAGAGAGAGAGAGAGAGAGAGAGAGAGAGCGCATAAAAGAGAATAGAAGAAGGAATATTCTGGCGGTCATATTACAGAGAATATGAAAGGCTAAGTGAATGCAATGAGAGAGGGATGGAGAGAGAAAGAGAGAGACCATATTGTTATGGACGTCAATCGCTTATACGACACATATGGACACATCATATATACCCCTATATTCTACAATAAAAACGATATAAAAGTTATAACTAAATATATATAACTCACACAAACAATACAACAGACTATATATAGTATAATATTTTTTTGTATGAGTTTTGCATCAAAATTGACTTAAGATCTGAGAAAAGATTTGCTGAGCAATACTTGTCGTACGACAACAACAGCACTTGTACTCTAAAAACCATTGCATTAATATAGCTCTCAATAAAGCAAATATATATACACTGTTGTATTGAAATAAAAACTAAAACCAATTACTTTTTGCCAGCATTTCTAGTGTAAAAGCCAAACCACTACTGCATTAATTCCTTATATTGTAATGAAAAACACTCAAAACAGTAAGTCTTGCTCTCAAATGAGATGTGGGAGAGAGAAAGAAAGAAAGAAAGAGAGAGAGAGAGAGAGAGAGAGAGAGAAAGAGATTGACTTACGATATACTTAAACAACAAACACAGAATATTAGTTAAACACATATGTTGTTCGCAATATATGAAAGTATATAATATTCTAGAAATAGGATATACTTTAAATATAACACAGAATATATAGAATATAAATATAAGACAACAAAATATTCAAATTATATCATAAATAACATGTAAAAATAATGTGCTTTTTATTTGCAGATGTATTTGTATCCGAATAAAGACAAACAAAGAGAGGTTTGAGAGAGAGAAAGAAAGAGAGAGAGAGAGAGAGAGAGAGAGAGAGAGAGAGATTTACATAATCAACGAAGAATATTGGTTGAGAGTATTGGGAACACAAGGGTAAGGGAGGCATTGGCAGCAGTAGTGCTGATCGATTAACCAAAATTCCCAAAAGTAAATTTGCAGAAAATAAGTGTGACTTGAATTACAAATTTCTCTCATCTAAAGACCAATGGCTCGATAGGAGAGAGAGAGAGAGAGAGAGAGAGAGAGAGAGAAAGGCTGGAAGAGAGGCTGACATAGATAGAGAAGATGAGAAAACGTAGAGAATATGTGAAATGAAAGCCAAACATAATATAATGCATATAACAACAGAGCATATACTGTATGAATACAATATAGTGTACGATATATTCTGTATACACATATCGGGCGAAGGAATCGCATCATAGGTTTTAAACTCAATTCCCGCGGAAACGTTTGGCCAATAAATTGCTAAACACTTATCATTATTATCGACTCAAACAGTGAATTTCAAAATAGCTTATATACAACACGACAACAACTGGTGAAGTAAAACGAGTGGACAGTAAATATCTAATGCGAGTGCAAAACAGAAATGGATGTTTGAGACTAACATCTCGTGTCTGTGCTGTCGATGCAAAACGTGTTACACAACAGGAATGAAGTTCAATGAGATATACGGCGAGAATATTGGATCGCATATAAGGTATTAAATATTTAGGCGTTTATAAAATTCAGTGAATGAATAAAAAACAAGCAAACAATACATGTTATCGAGATGTGAATTCAAGAGATAAGAGTATAGTATAGCCGAGAGAGAGAGAGAGAGAGAGAGAGATCAGTAGGATATACAGTATGTATGTAACCATTGATCCAAAAGCTAAATTCAGTTTTTGTTGTTGTGTATTGTGGACCAGAATTCCCATACAATATATATGGCAAATGCATGGCATATGTTATACGCAATCCATACATATATCGAGTGCAAAATTAAATGCAATTTATAAACATTTCACATATATTTACGGCCACAAAATTTTACAGTACGTACACTAACAGCACATACAAAAAGTAATGGTTTCTCCATTTATTGTTATACAAATGATCGGTTCATCCCTTAAAACTTATGCTTAAAAATATTTTTTCTTTGAGTCCAATATTTGGACAAAACATTATGTATGGAGAGAACGGTTCGTATTTATATAACTTATAGTAATCATAAGATACAGAATATTCTCTCTCTCTCCTACCTCTCTATTATGGGTCGGAATAGATATTCTATAGATATAGTGGAGAGAGAGAGAGAGAGAGAGAGAGATAGGATATACAGTATGTATGTAACCATTGATCCAAAAGCTAAATTCAGTTTTTGTTGTTGTGTATTGTGTACCAGAATTCCCATACAATATATGTGGCAAATGCGTGGCATATGTTATATGCAATCCATACATATATCGAGTGCAAAATTAAATGCAATTTATAAACATTTCACATATATTTACGGCCACAGAATTTTACAGTACGTACACTAACAGCACATACTAAAAGTAATGGTTTCTCCATTTATTGTTATACGAATGATCGGTTCATCCCTTAAAACTTATGCTTAAAAATATTTTTTCTTTGAGTCCAATATTTGGACAAAACATTATGTATGGAGAGAACGGTTCGTATTTATATAACTTATAGTAATCATAAGATACTGAGAGAGAGAGAGAGAGAGAGAGAGAGAGAGAGAATTACAGAATTGCAATCGATTGCAACCGATTCTGGTGTCTGGAGACCATTGAAAGTAAAACGATATATAAAAGTAAAGAAAATGTAATACAAATAAAAAGTTAGCAAAAGTTTCAATTAAAACTGCGAAACCAAATAATCGGTCAGTCGTACCAAAAACGCAATGCAATTAAATTACAACTCTAAGTGATTACAACACACAACAAGTGATGTACGAGTGATTAAAACGCGACAAACATAACAAACAAACAAACAAATGGTTTTTGGGTTCGCATAGAGATATATAGTGATAGAGAGCCAGAGCGCAGACAACTCTCATTTAAATTAACGACCAATTAATTAATTAGCGATAAAAACAGACAGCGAAACACACCGTCTGACAGACTGTATTAAACAGACATGTGTTGTCTGTAGACATACCTGGGGTTACCCCTGAGTGCCGCGTGATGTAAGGCGTTGAAGCCGTTGTTGTTGGCGAGTGTGATGTCCGCGTTGTGGTCCAACAGCAGTGACAGCATGTCGTCCCGCTTTTTGCTGATCGAGTCGTGTATAGGTGTGTCGCCCTCACAGTCCTGTTGTATATTTGCAAAACACACGTCAAAATCAATTACAATTACAGACATATAAAGACTAATTATATCAATGTATTAATGATATTAATGTAATGATAAGTACCTGAAGGCTCGAGTGACAGCCGAGCTCTAACAGTGTCTTTACTACGTGTACGTGACCTTTGTTTACGGCTATCGACACAAAAATCAAATCAATAAATAACAAATTACTTAAACAAATAAATCGCAAATCATTTGTACCGATATGTAGGGGCGTCTGTCGGCGCTTATTACGGGCGTTAAGATCGGCGCCGGACTGCGCGAGTGCTGTGATCACTCCGGGTTCGTCGCCGAACGCCGCGTGATGTACGGCGCGGTCGCCGTCCTTGTCCTCGATCTCCACATTGGCGTTGTGTCGCAACAAAGTCTTAATCACTTCGATGTGACCGTTCTGTGACGCGGCCTGAAGTGCCGTATGGCTGGCGAACACCCCATTCACGTCCACCTCAACCCGTTTGACAATCTCTTCACATTTGGCCACATCTCCGTTCGCCGCCGCCTTCACCAGCTCTTCGTTCGGTTCGCCCGACACGTGAGACTCGAACAGCTTCTTCAGTATTGTGCTCAGGCCTTCGCCCGACGTGTTCACCGCCGACCCATCGTTGGACACTTTGACCACTGCCGCGGGATTGTAGGTCCAGGCGGTGCCGCACACGTCTACCTTCAGGTCGTTGTCGTGATATATTTGCTGCACTCTTCCGATTTTGCCTAACGTCGGTGCCATCGCTTCGGCGAACTCTCCGTGACCTACGATAACCCAATGAATACCACATTTAATGTCATATTGTATTAGATTTATAAATAAAGTCTTTGTTTTCAGTCAAACCTTTTTGTAATATTTTAATCCTTTCGAGATCTGAACAAATCTGTACTAAATCTCCGACAGAGAACTGTATATTCGCGGCGCCGCCGCCGGACGCGCCGCCCGACGTCGAGGCGCCCGAAGTGCCGGCAATCATACCGGCGCTCACGTTAGAGGTGGACAAAGTGGGCGCTATATTGATGTTGGGATTCGTGTGGCCGGACAGCGAGTTGGTGTTGGAGCCGACACGGGTGAGCACAGCCGGATTGAATGTCCACTTATTAGTGCTCGGATAGAGTACGACAATGTCGTGGTCTTCGTCGATGCCGACCACTGTGCCAGTGGTGCCCAAACACTCGAACATGCCTTCAGTCCAGCCTCCGTGGCCGTGTTGTAGCGACTGCACGATCTCCAGGTCGAGGTCAACGTTGACCATATCGCCGATCTGGAAGCCGTGAACGCTGGACCGACCGGCGCCCTGTTCTCCCAGCAGCGGCAGGTGATCGCGGTATACGGTGTGGCCCTTCACGTCACTCACCACTTTCAAGTCGGCCATCCCTTCAAAGCCGACGCGATACAGGTTTTTGGCGCCGTTGTCCCATATGATGTACGCCGCGCTACGAGGACTCGCCGCCGACCAGTCCTGGATTTCGGTCACTTTCCCGCGTTTGCCGTTTCCGCCGTCCTATCGAATCAATTATTTACAATTGTTTTAGTTTTAATGTCACAAATAATGTGATGGCATTTGAATACCTGGTCCTCCCATTGCCAGTCGACACCTGTTATCGCAATAAAAACACGTTAATTAAATATCAACAAAATTAATGCCATTTCCCACTTACCTCTGACCACCCGAGAGCCGGGGAATATGCCTTTGACGGCAATCTTCTTGCCCTTACGCCGGGGCTCAATGATGACCCGTTCAGAGCCCGGATTCAGTATACGGTAGAAGCGGTGCCGAACGTTATGCTTGTCTGAGTGGTAGCACAGAGAGCACAGGTCGTAGTTAATACATTCGGCACACTTCCAGCGTATGCCGAAGATTGGCGACTGTTTACAGAAGTCACACATCGCTCCCTCGTGTTTGACACCTGTTATGGGAC